AGGCAATCCACTCACCTCAGCCTCCCAAAGGCGCGGGATTACAGGTTGAGCCATCGAACCCGGCTTGTTATTGCTTCTTAACCTTACTGCTCTATGTTTCTGGAGCCAGAGACAAAAATTAGTGTCACGTTGTCTCCCAAGTTCTGGTTGTAGTCTTCTTTGTGCCGGTTCACCAGTACAGGACAAGTTGCGCAGCTTCGATCATATGGTCACACGCTTGCTGCTGACTCCGATGCGTGCCCCAGGTGTTCGAGATTTATAGGAAAGTGTTTTGCAGTGGCTGCTGCCTCTAGAATCTCTATCCTCGCCATCTTTCGTTATTTTCTTTCACTTCTATGTTCCCTTCTCACCTTAGCCTTCTCCTTTCTTGTTGGAATATTTAGACTACACATGTCCTGCCTTTAACCTTTCTCTGCTCCTCGGTATTATGCTCTCTAGACTCGAAGCATCTCTCATCGATACAGTTTCTATCTCACTGTTTTATTCCCCATTACCCCTTTACTTCATTGCATTTTAATTTTCTAGCCACCTAAACACCTGCCTTAAGCCACTTGTGTTTTTAAAATCTTTCTTTAAAACATGGTTGCCAGCTGGGCATGGTGGCTTACACCTTAATCCCAACACTTTGGGAAGCTGAGGCGAGAGGATTGCCTGAGCCCAGGGGTTTGAGACCAGCCTGGGCAACATGGCAAGACCTTGTCTCTGCATAAATCAAAAAAATATAGCTAGGCATCATGGCGCATGCCTGTAGCTCCAGCTACTCAGAAGGCTGAAGCGGAAGGATGGCCTATACCCAGCAGTTCGAGGCTGTGGTGGCCGTGAGTGTGCCCCTGCATTCCAGCCTGGGCAACAGAGTGAGACTGACTCCAAAAAAAAAAACCCCAAAAAACGTGGTTGCCATACAAGAGAGAACTTGAAATCTCCTGGATGTGAGCCTGTGTATGCCTCCATAGCAGCCTTGTTTGTACCCTTCTCTTTTTTAAAATAAAGTGTGTGTCACTTGCCGCTTCCTTCCTCTCTTCCTCCCTGGCTCTTGCCTCAGCCAAAGCTAAAGCCAGCCCCCTCCAGAGTAGCCTTCCTCCGATGTCACGTGGCCGCCCGAGGAACTTTTAGCCGAGAGGACTGCGCCATTTCTTGTTACCCGCTAAGAGAAGGGTTGCCTTGTCCATCATTGCTCTAGTTCAGCCCCCACCTGAGAGCGACGGTACAGGGTCCCGGTGCAGAACACGCTGCCTGGCAAGCCCGAGACTGCCATCCTCAGAAGGTGCGCTGGCCCTTGGCGGGCGCCGGGGACTTGGACTTCAGGAGCATTCCCCGTGTTCCACGCTCCGAACGGCTGACTGTGCCTCAGCTGTTCACACGCTGCGGTTCCTGCCGAGCTCCTGCTTTCCTCTGGAAGTCTGGAATCTTGGCACTCGACCCGAAGAAAGTTCCTGTGTGACCAGGCCCCGCAGAAAAGCTGGGCATTGTGTCTCTGGTGCGCTTTTCTGGGAGGCAGCATTTCACACAAGTTGTCACAGCATGGGTGATATTTGCATGCCCTGTGTGAGAGGGCTCTTGGAAGCTTTGCCTGGCTTCCTCCAGGCCCGACACCACACTCCTTTTCCCTTTGCAGGGAGTGCTGTGTGCAGGATATACTGTGTGTAATCAACCACCGTCTTGGGTATTTAGACAGAGTCCCGTGAGGCCCACTGGCAGGTCACCGACCCTGGTTTGTCTCGGGGACCCCCACATAGAATGCTATTTAGCATTCTCAACTGACACTGTGGAGACTATTGAGTTGTTTGGAGCATATCGTGCACCTTTGTGGTTTCGAGGTGTTCAGCACATGCTTCTTCCCTGCCTGGAGTGCTGTATCCCCCTCTTGTTCTGCCCCTTTATTTCATGGCGCCCTCCTTCCAGCTGTACTTAGGAATGGCTTTCTCTTTAAAGGTCCCCCGCGAGCTGGTTCCCCATCCTTGTGCTCCTGTACACCCTAAGTATGTCTGGTTCTAATTAGTCTTCATTGCCTCTGTTACCCAAATACCAATTAGCATGCCTGGTGTATAGTAAGTGGTCCACAGTCGTAATCGGTTTCACCGGTTTTGCTCTTCAGTGGCCTTAATTTTATATCCTTGCTTATTCTCTACTATGTCCCAGCACTGGACCACTGATTTGCAGAGGTGTTCCCAGATATTTTTACATAAATATGAAAAAAATGGGGAGGGGGAGAATTTTGAATTCAAGAGATAATTAGAATTTTTTATCTCACCAAATTATTGTTTATATCACACGTTTCTGCTTTTTGGCTTCAACCTGATCTAGTCCAGTCACAGATTCTCACCATTTAAAAAAGAGTATTTTGCCAGGCTCGGTGGCTTAGCCTGTAATCCCGTGCTTTGGGAGGCTGAGGTGAGTGGATTGCCTGCGCCTGCAGGTTCGAGTACCACCTGGGCAACTTGGCGAGACCTCATCTCTACAATAAATAAAAAAATTAACCAGGTGTGGTAGCACACACCTGTAGTTCCAGCTACTTGGAAGGCTGAGGCAGAAGGGTTGCCGGAGCCCAGCAGGTCGAGGCTGTGGTGGCCAGGAGTGGCCACTGCACTCCAGTCTGGGTGTCGGAGTGAGACTCCAACTCAAAAAAAAAAAAAAAATAAAATAAAAGAGTATTTAGTGACTGCACCATCAGTGATTCGGAATGAAAGGCTCTAAGCCACTAGGACTAGTTAGAGTCACCATTGATTCTGATGTTATTAACTAAGGGAAAGGCCAATTTGGAGAGCAGAGTATCAACATAAAACAGTAGTGTTTTTCTTGGAGGCTTCAAAGTATATAATACTTGCAATGTTGTTAACTTTTACAAAATCTCTTTCTCTAAGGAGCTGGAAGAGCAATATAAGAAGGAGAAACTAACCCTGGAGGAGGATAAAAGTCAGCTTCAGCATGAGCTTGAGAGCCTGAAGGAAGAACTGGAAGACAAGCTGAACACAGCCAACCAAGAGGCAAGGATTCTGCAGGCCTCTCGCCTGCATTGTGTCTGTGACTGATAGCTGGCTCTGGTGACGTTGTGTATGTCGTAGGTGAGCCTCGGCAAAGGTAGCAGGTCTGGAGCAAAAATCACCAAAAAACGTAGCCGGCGCTGAGCCTTTCGTGCCCTTTTGGTTGTGTCCCACCAGGTAAAGAAAGTACTATAAAAAACACGAAACTAAGGTGCATCTGTGGGGAAAAGCAAAACAATGGAGAACATCACCGCAAAGGAGAGAAAACAGCAGAGGGTTCTCTGCTGTCTTGAAGAACAGCAGGATCGTGTTCTCCACACTGTCTCTCCACAGTCTCCGCAGACCTGGAGGAAGAGGGTAGCTGGAGTCCTGGGGCTTAGTCTGGGCAGTGGGGGGCAGCACTGTGCTCTCATGGGTAGAGGGGACGGAAGAGGAGAGAGGAGGGAGGTCAGAGCCCTTCTCCAGCCTCCTGCCAGCCGAGCTCCAGGTGGGCCAAGGACTGGGGTGCGCTGTGAAATCATGGCATGAATACGAGTGAGACGTGAAACCAGCAGTAAGCCTTAGGGCAAAGGCCTTTAGAACATGATTCCAAAGTCATTGAGTTAAAATCACGGAATGTTTGTACAGTTAAAGTTCGAACTTCTATATATCAAAACACACCAAGCCGGGCTCGGTGGCTCAGCCTGTCATCCCGCGCCTTTGGGAGGCTGAGGTGAGTGGATTGCCTGAGCCTGTGGGTTCGAGACCCGCCTGGGCAGCGAGATCTCATCTCTACAGTAAATCAAAAAATCAGTCGGGTGTGGTAGCGCATGCCTGTAATTCCAGCTACTTGGAAGGCTGAGGCGGAAGGTTGGCCGGAGCCCAGCAGGTCGAGGCTGCAGTGGCCCGGAGCAGCCACTGCACTCCAGTCTGGGTGACAGAGTGAGACTCCAACTCAAAAAAAAAAAAGCCAAAAAAAAACGCACCATAAGCAGAACTGAAAGAGGAAAATTTGGGAGGGATAGAGTGAGTGGTTGACAAAGTATGTGACTAGCAAAGAATTCATGTATTTAATAACTTTTTAGCAGGCTAAAGAAGAATTTGAAAAAACTAATTATTTTTTGTGATTTAAGAACTGGACATGAAATCAATGAGATGTCATTCCGTTGCCATGAAATTAGCAGTGATAAAAAGTTAGGTGGGACCATGCCATGTTGACATGAGTGAAGAATTCGGCACTCAGAAGCTGCTGATGGGAATAAAACAGAATAATTTTCCTGGAAAAGGATTTAGCAGCATGTATGAGAGCCTTAAAGATGGGCATGTCCTTTGACTGAGCAGTGCTATTCTGTGTATTTAGCCTAAGCAGATAATTATGGATCATTGACAAAATTTCAGCACAGTTTACAGTAGAAGAATTCAGAAACAACTAACATCTTCACAGAAGTCTGTGAGAAGAAAAGGAGCATTTTCCAGCTCACACAGAAGCGTTACTGTCTTCCCTTTCCACACCCTGGAGTGGCTTCTGTGCCAAGGGAGGTGGCCTTTTTTCTTGCTGAGAGGGGCCACGTGGCCTAGTAGCTGATACTAATACAAGGTCAAGAAAGTGAAGCACTAAGGATCCTTTTCAGGGCTTACATACCTACATACTGGGATGTTAAGGAGATTTTTTTCCTTCTTAATTGCTGGTAAGCATCTGTGAGCTTTTTCTGTAATTCACTTATTCAATAAATATTGAATGGCTACTAGGCTTCAGAGCACTATATGAGGCACTGTGACTAAGTCAGACACGGTGCCTGCTACCATGGAGAGACAGCTGCGAAAACAAGTAATTATAAGTCTGACACATATTGCAAAAGGACGGCAAGCGATTAACAGAGGCTTGCCAGAGTAATAAACTGAGAAAAACTTATGCAAACGCCCTGAGGCATGAGACATTTCTAGACATTGTAGAAAGGCCAGTATAGATGGAGAGTGGTAGCAGTTATAATAATCACTAATATTTATTGAGTGCTTACAGAGTCCCAGACGTTTTATGTAGTCGCTCCTTTATGCTTTTCTTTCCTTTAAGCCTTGCAACAACCCTGGGCAGTAGATACTAGTTACTAAGTCACAGAAAGCTATAGGTCTTGCCCAAGTCACACGGTAAGTCGGTAAAGCCAGAATTCCAAATCCAGATGGTGTGATTTCCAAACTCGATTCTTTCTTTTTTTCTAATTTTAAAGAAGTATGGTAAAATTCAGGGTTGGATACATAAGTGGTCATTGTACAGGTAAAGCCAAACTCAATTCTTAACCATAGCATGACTTTTCCTCCCAGTGAACACACAGACCACGAAGGCTTGCCAAGCTAGGCGGGGATTTCGACAGGGGCCATGCCATGAGGATCCTAGAAGCCCCAAGAAAGATTGCAGATGTTACCCTAAGGGCAGTGGGAAGCCTCAGAAGATATTAAGTGAGCAAATGGGGTTGCTTGCTTGGGGAATGGGGCTTATGCTCATGTCCATGTTTGTAATTTATGAAACATTCACTGTGGTGTTGTGAGGAGAACGGATCAGAGGAAAGCCAACATGGATAGCTAGATATTCCAGGGCGGAGGCCTCTACTAACTGCATTTCCTTGGAGTACACATTAATGAGAGGAATCTGAGTGTCCGTCTCTACTGCCAGTGACAGAAAACCCAGCTCAATCTAGCCTAAGGAAAAAGGAAATTTTTTGACTCACATAGCTAGAAAGTCCAAGGATAACATTAGCATCAGGCATGACTGGATTCAGAACTGAAGTTAGTGACACTGGAACTCAGTTTCTTTTTCTCACGTTGGATTTATTCTCTCTGTGTTGACTCCATGCATGGTTGAGTCATATGTTCCCTCAAGCACATGTGCACCTGTCAGAAAACCTTTTCCAGGAGTTCCTTTGAAAGTCCTGAGAGCACTGTGATGAGGTAAGCTTAAACCATGTGCCTGCCCTGTGCCATTTTAATATTGTAAGTAAGTAATGTGCACAGGTATGCCAGTAAATCTTAAAAATTAAGAAAAAACTTGTCTTTGTATGAAAATTTAGATTTCTAAAATGGCCCAAAGTGGTTGAATCACCTCACCAAACCAATTACAACCACGAAAGAAAAGAGGCTAGCATATATATCCAGAGGAACACTAGGCCCAGGGGACTCCAGGGATGAATTTTGCCAGACTTTCAAGAAATGGATAATTCTTGTGCTGAGAAGACATTTGAGAGCACAGGAAAAAACGAGAAGCTCCCAGATCATTTGACGAGGTTAGCATCACTTAGAGACGCTAACAAGACAAATTGCCACTACTTCCAGGGTCATTCAGCATTTACCTGTATCAGCACATACTTGTGTGGAGGGGACAGGAAGGTGATGCCCCGGGAGGCGTTGTCAGTCAGGCATTAAAGGAGAATTACAAGGAGAAAGATCCAGGTATTATTTTTATATTAACAATTTTAATCTTTGTAGAATTTACATAGTCATGACCATTTTGTAAGAATGGGGTTTTTACTTCATAGCATTTTTTTAAAAGATAATGTAAAGTATTTTATTTATGAATTTTAGTTCTCATAATTTTAGTGTAGTGGTCTGATTAGTAAACAAATTGTCTAGTAATTCCTAATTTCAAGAGGGTATAAATTCAACTCTTAAAGATTTCAGGAGACACATTTTTTATGGAAACATAGAAATTGCAACTTATTCTAGTTTATGATATACTTACCAACTTGTAAATATTGACCTACATTTATCTCTTTTACAAATAGCAGGAGATATGGACTCAAATGAAATAAGTAATTCAGTTTTCAAGAACAGTTTTAAAATATTTTTTTCTAAATTTTTTTTCAGTCTTTGGTTTAATCTGTCTTGCTTCAGTTCCTTCCTACAGATATTTTATTATGATAGAACCAGGAATTCTCTTTGTTAAACCAGAAGCCTGAGAGGTATCTGTTTCTTTACATGGTTGTCATGAAAAGGGGAAATCTTAAAAGTCTTTTCAAAAAACAGCAAATGAATCAAAATGGCCTGGTATTGGTACAAGAACAGGCACATAGACCGAGGGGACAGGATAGAGATTCTGGAAGCAAAACCTCAATCTCTCAATCAGCTCATCTTCAACAAAGCCTCTACCACCAACCACTGGGGAGAGAAGAACCTATTCAGTAAATGGTGCTGGGAGAACTGGCTGACCACATGCAGAAGGTTAAAACAAGACCCCTACCCATCACCATATGCAAAAGTCAACTCTAAATGGATCAAAGACCTAAATGTAACACCTCAAACTATAAGAACCTTAGAAAATGCAGGAGACACCCTTATGGCAGTTGAAACTGGCAACTAATTCCTGATTAAAACCCCCAAGTGCCCATGCCATAAGAGATAAGATAGACAAGTGGGACTTTATCAAAGCTTTTGCAAAGCCAAAGAAACCATCAAGAGAGCAGGGAGACAGCCCACAAAATGGGAGAAAATATCTGAGAAAGGCCTAACATCGAGGATCTACAAGGAACTCAAATGTGCTGAAAAGAAAAAGTCAAACAGCCCCATTACAAAGTGGGCAAAAGATGTGAATAGATGCTTCTCAAAAGAAGACATACGAGCAGCCAACAGACACATGAAAAAATGCTCAGCCTCACTAGTCATCAAAGAAATGCAAATCGAAACCACACTGAGATGCCACCTAACTCCAGTCAGGATGGTCATCATCAATAACTCAAAAAACAACAGATACTGGAGAGGATGCAGGGAAAATGGAGCACTTCTACACTGTTGGTGGGAGTGTAAACTAGTACAGCCTCTGTGGAAAACAGTTTGGCGATTCCTAAAAGATCTAAAAATCGACCTTCCATACGACGCCACAATCCCCCTACTGGGAATATACCCGGAAGAACTCAAATCACCCTTATGAAAAAGATACCTGCACATGCATGTTTATCGCAGCCTTGTTCACAATAAGAACATGGCACCAACTGTGCTGCCCATCGAAAGAGGACTGGACAAAAAAAAAAATGTGGTGCATATACAGGGTGGAATATTATGCAGCCATAAAGCAGGACAAAATTGTGAACTTTGCAGCAACCTGGATGGACTTAGAGGCTACAATACTGAGTGCTCTAACCCAGAAACAAAGAACCAAGTATCACATGCTCTCACTTACAAGCAGACATTGAGTAACTGTCATAACACTGTAAGAAAGGGATTGGCAGTAGTGGAAAACTGCCAGGGGAGGGCGGGGGCAGGATTGGCAGCGGCAGGAAGCTGCCAGGGGAGCGGGAGGAGGGCACAGCTCATCAACAAGGGCACCTACATGATGGATGTTTGTGCGCCTCACCCTGAATTGTACACATTAAAAATAAAGGTAAAAACCAGCAAATGAAAGCTGTCATGATTGAGTGTTTCTTCCAAATTCATCAACCAATGATCCATGCAGTAAAATTACTACTGAAGAAAAGCCTTCAGTCTTTGCCCGAGGTTACTCACTAAGTGGTGGGTCCCGAATTCACACAGAGACTACACTCTAAATTGCCTCTTTGAAGGAGAAGGTTAAGAAGAACTCCCCGGCTCCTAGCCCCCTAGTTTGATGGAATCTCTTCTCTACCATCTAAGTCATCTAAATCTTTGCTGTGTTTCATAAGCATAAAAGGGAATGGAAGGGAGAAACCGTAAGACTGTTTTGCTATTCTGTCCCTGTGAGGTCTATTACAAGGACTCTGTTTGCTTGCAGATCGGCCGCCTCCAAGACCTGGTCAGAGAAGGCGAGCAAGGCCTTGGCTCTGCAGAAGGACTTATTGCCAGTCTTCAGGACTCCCAGGAAAGGCTCCAGAACGAGCTTGACTTGACCAAAGGCAGGCTGAAGGAGACCAAGGACACGCTCTTACGTGTGGAGGTAACCCCATAATTCTGCTGAAATCTAACATCAGCAAAACAAAAAATAGTGTAGCTACTTGGCTTAAAGCTATTTCAACACCGCTCGTATATAATTAGGTTTTTAGTTCCCAGGGCTACGTGAGAGAGTCTGCAAACTGGGTGACTTGAAACAACAGAAACATGTTCTCCCGCGGTTCTGGAGGCTGGAGGTCCAAGATCAGGTGCAGGCAGGGCCGTGCTCCTCCCTCAACTCCAAGGGGGGAATCCTCCTTGCCGTTCCGGCTTCTGGAGCCTCGGGAACCCTGTGGCATTTGACAGCGTCGTGTCAGTGTCTGCGGTCTTCACGCTGTCATCTCATCAGGATGCCAGTCACATTGGATGAAAGGCTCTCCCGGCCAGGCTCAGCTTGTCATCCAGCACTTTGGGAGGCCGCGGCGAGGGGATTGCCTGAGTCCACAGGTTCAAGACCAACCCGGGCAACTGGGCGAGACCTCATCTCTACAATAAATAAATAGAAATTAGATGGGCATGGTAGTGCCCACCTGTAGTTCCAGCTCCTTGGAAGGCTGAGCTGGGAGATCCTTGGAAGGATCGCCGGAGCCCAGCAGGTCGTCACTGGGGTGGCCGTGAGCGTGCCACTGTACTCCAGCCTGGACAATGGAGTGAGACTCTGACTCAAAAAAAAAAAAAAAAAGGAAAAGAAAGGCTCTCCCTACTTCAGTTGGGTACATCTTAATACATCTGGGCTGACCCTATTTCCAGATAAGGTCACATGCTGAAGTATTGGGGGCAGAGGGGATTAGCACTCTAACATGTCTTTTGGGGGACACAGCTCAGCCCGTAGCAATTAAAATGTGCAATTCTTTTACTGATAAATGTTGGAACTTTCATATGTAGCAGCGGAGTGCTTCCCTGCATCCTACAAATGTCAGAAAAACCCTTCCATTCCCTTTTATGCTTATGAAACACAGCAAAGATTTAGATGACTTAGATGGTAGAGAAGAGATTCCATCAAACTAGGGGGCTAGGAGCCGGGGAGTTCTTCTTAACCTTCTCCTTCAAAGAGTCAACTTAGAGTGTAGTCTCTGTGTGAATTCGGGACCCACCACTTAGTGAGTAACCTCGGGCAAAGCCTCAGTGTTAAGCACAATGTAGGAGGGATGAGGGATAAGGATATTCTTCACATTGCCATTGTCATAATTAGACGAGATAAACCCCTTACAGCATGATGCTTCACAAACAGTCAACACTCAGTAGATGTTACCTTTCATTAATATTATTTCAGCCAGGCTCAGTGGCTCAGCCTGTAATCTCACGCCTTTGGGAGGCTGAGGTGAGTGGAATGCCTGAGCCTGCGGGTTCGAGACCCGCCTGGGCAATTTGGCGAGACCTCATCTCTACAATAAATCAAAAATGAGCCGGGCCTGGTAGCGCGTGCCTGTAGTTCCAGCTACTTTGAAGGCTGAGGCGGAAGGATCGCCAGAGCCCAGCAGGTCAAGGTCCTGGTCACCGCACTCCAGTCTGGGTGACAGAGTGAGACTCCAACTCAAAAAAAAAAAAAACCAAAAACATATATATATATACATACATATATATATATACATATATATTATTTCAAGCCGGGTGCAGTGGCTCACGCCTATAATCCCAGCTCTTTGGGAGGCGGAGACGAGAGGATTGCTTGAGCCCCTGGTTTGAGGCCAGCCTGCGCATTTTGGTGAGACCGTGTCTCTATAATAAATAAAAAAATTAGCTGGACGTGGTGGCACGTGCCTGTGGTTCTAGCTACTTGGAAGGTTGAGGTGGAAGGATCACCTGAACCCAGCAGTTGGTGACTATGGTGGCTATGAGTGTGTCACTGCACTCCAGCTTGGGCAACAGAGTGAGATTCCAACTCAAAAAAATAAAATAAAATAAATAAATATATATATATATATATATAAAATTTCAAATTTTACTTTTTCAATTCGAGTGGGTTCCATTTCAAAAGTATGTAAACAAGGGCATATTATTGGATGCATATTCTGTATGGTGCATGTATAATTCTATTCACATTTTATCTAAGGTAACAAGGAACAGGCTGGAGTTTGGAACTAGTGTAATATACAATCTGATACATTTATGTGATGCAGAATGTATTGACTTTAACCTTGATGGCAGTCTTCTGTGGCATACAGCTGACCAGGATGGCCAAATCATATTAAGAGGTGTTTTCCCCACTTTCAAAAGTAAAAGGAGATGATATTTTAAGGCATCATTAATCTATTATTGACTCATTAAACTATTATTAATACCTGTGATATGGAAGGTTTAATTAAAGTTACTAATGTGACTTTAAACTGCTTAAATAACTTATGAGCATTAATAAAACAATTTCAACAAGGGCATTTAAGATATAAAACTTACATTATTGTCAGAAATTCTTGAGTCAGTGTCGTAGATAGCATTATCAGTTACTGTGCTGTAGAATTGTGAAGTTATAGTGAAGCACTCTACATATTTCAAGTAACCAACAGTGTCTTTGCTCTTGAAGACTAGTCTTCACTGAAATTTTCTTTCTTCAGGATGAGCTAGAACAAGAAAGGCAACAACATGAAGAAACGCTTGCTGCCATGAAGGAAGAAGAGAAGCTCAGAGTAGACAGAATGGCCCATGACTTGGAGATCAAGTGGACCGAGAATCTTAGGTGTGTTTTCACTCTGTAATGCATTCTTGTCAGTACAGGTGTGCAGAAAAGTTCTTTTCTCTCATAGCTCATGTTGTCATATTGTTACAGGTGTAGTAGCAGTATTTTAAATGGATTTTTTCTATGATTAGATACAGAGAAATTGGAGTTTTTTCCTGCTTTAATTCAAATTTATTTTATTTTGAAGATGTGGAGTACAGTTCAGGGTTAGGTATACAGATGTTCAAATTTAGATTTATTTTTTCTGATTGCTTTTCCTTGATTATCAAGTAGGCAGAGAGCTAACCTAGAGTCAGAGACTTATTTGTTCTAGTACTTACTCTGCCGTTAATAAATTGATCGATCAATGATCTTGGTTAAGTTACCAATTTACCTTCAAGTTCTTAACTGTAAAATAATCTACTCTTACTCCGAGTCACAGACTTTTGGGGAGATGAACTAAGCACTTAGAATACCTGTGAACAACTATACTACAGTTCCTGAGAGGAATAATTTTCTTTGCAAAATGTCTGGTTTTTTTAGACAAGAATGTTCTAGACTTCGTGAGGAGTTGAGGCTCCAGCATGAAGAGGATAAGAAGTCAGCGATGTCTCAACTTTTGCAATTAAAAGAGCGAGAGAAAAATGCAGCCAGAGATTCATGGCAGAAGAAAGTAGAAGATCTCTTAAACCAGGTAATTAATAGTGTGGACATTACGGAGACTTATTTTCCTTGACATTCTCTAACTGGGGAAATATTGTGAATCTCTACATGTTAATTCATTGTACTTTGTTGTTTTTCATAGGGCAAATAACATTTTTTTCATTGTATAAAATCAGGGAGATGTATTCATAAACTTATGAAACATTGGGCTAAATCATTGTGTTATATATAAAGTCCTAAATACTGGGAAGAATTTGTGGTTTTTAGTTTAATATTTGAACTGAACCGATTTTAAATGGGAAGCTATCTACGAGAGGGGACTTGTGATAAAAACTGGAATTAGTACACTTGGAAATTGTTCTTCCAGATCAAATGGTCAACCAAAGTTTGTATCTGGAAGTTCTGAGAAGGTTGCGTCATGATGTGCTAAAGAAACATCCTGAGTTGTGGCAAACAGGTGACGACTGGCTGTTCCACCATGACAGGGCACCTGCTCACACTTGCTGAGTGTTCAGCGGTTTTTGACCAAAAACGGCTTGACCCCTGTGCCCCACCCTCCCTGTTCACCTGATCTTACCCTGAGTGACTTCTTTTTTTGTTTCCCTGGATGGAAAAAGTCCTCAAAGGGAAACGTTTGGCCAATGTGGAAGAGGTAAAGCAAAAAACCACAGAAGCATGAACAGCCATCAGAATCGATGAGATCAGAAACTTTTGAGCAGTGGGAAAAGTGTCTCGAGGGTGTTTTGCATCAAATGGAGAGTCCTTTGAAGGTGACTGAAGTTTAAACGTGTAAGAATAAATACATAATTTTTAAATAAATAAATTCTAGATTTTGAGGGTATCCCCTCATGTTTTTGAAAGTATAAAATCTTTTTTTAGGTCATCAGAGACTCATTTGGGCACCAGAAGTGGAAATGTGTCGCCTGTGTCCTGCTTGTCTAAACCCGCTTCTTTCTTGCCAGTGGGATGCAGCTGGCTGTGTGTTACAATGCTCTCGGCCCCTAGGAAAGAACATTATTGAAACAAAATTCCTGCACCTATTTTTGGGCCACGTTGGCTTATTTCTAGAACGTTTGTAACTGTGATTAAAATAAATTGCACATTTCACTCATTTCTACAACTTCTAAATTCATGAGTTCTTGGTTGTCTTCTGCAAAGCCAGTAATTAAATAGGACTGACTGTGTGCGTCGTCCACTGATGAGCAAGTGCGGAACTTGGGAAGAAGCAGCTCAGTGATTGGGTGCTGGAAACCTCCTCGGGCCTTTCCGTGTGTGAGCATTATGAGTTTCAGAATAAACAGGATAGGTTTTTTAAAGATAATTCGTACACATACGCAGCATCTCTCAGTGACACTTAGGGCTTGCCAATTTGTGTCTGATATTTCATGATCATTTATAATTTTGTTCCAAAAAGGGAGAATACACAAACACACACACTTTTGTGAATCGTTTGAAACCTTTGAAACTCAGGCAAAAATAAGAACAAGAACTCTCATTAGAAGTTGGACACCATGCTAACATTGCTTATCATACACTTATTTTACATTTCTACTTAAGGCCCAGGAGGACAGATTATACTGGGTAGAGTGATACTAATCCTCCATCGCGTCCCACACCTAGAAAGATTTAATTAGTTCAATTGTGTAGTAAAAAAAGAAAAGCATTTCTAAAAGCCGACCTGGTTTTCAGCCAGAAAGTGTTGAACATGGACGTTTTTTAACTGGGTTTACACGGTAAAGTAGGCCCACCCCTTCTTTCACCTGTTTTCTGTTGGATTATTCTGTTTGTTATTCCTTTAATCTCTCTTGTTTCAAGTTGTCCGATTTCTTCCATGCTCCTCTGAATTTTCTTTTCTTGCCCTTTGGATGTCTGTTCTGGAGTGTTCGTTCCTGAGAGGACCTAATGCCTTTCATTTTGTGGTTCTGTGTATCATAAAGTAACTTATCACAGGTTAGCTCTAGTTTTTGCCAGCTCTACAGAGAGCATTGTAAAAAATCAGCATTCAAAGCAGAGGTACCATCAGGTGGAACTGTCCTGTGGTGCTGCGGTGGCGGAGCTGTGCCGTCAGACCCTTTCCAGGACGGCAGTGCCGCCCTCCTCCCTCTCCCCTCTTCTGAAGCGCGTGGGGCACACACCGGCAGGGACCAGCGGGCAAACACAGGCCGTTGCCCTCCAGGACTGTCTGTGCCTCAGAAGACGGGGGCAGGTGAACAGGAGGCGGCCCCGTTCAGGCGAAAGCGGGCCTTCTGCTGTCGAGGCCTCCCACGCGGCGTGTGGGGCGGCGGAAGACCGCAGCGTACCGTGGCCTTCGCCTCTGCTGGTTTCTCCTCCCGGGAGGGGACGCCGGTGGGGCCCGGGCTTGCCTCGACCCCCGGGCGGCCCTGAGGCCCCGGCCCGGCCCCGCTCCGGCTCGCTCTCCCGCAGCCCGGCCGGCGTGGGTGGGGACCCAGGCCGAGACCGAGGCCCACGCCTGGGCTGCGCCGACTCTCGGGGGACCCGCGCCTCGCTTGCTTGGGCTGTTCCGAGCGAGCTGAGCACGCGGCTGTTCTTGCGCCGGGACGTTCCCACGTTTCGTGTTACTCGGGGCGGCGGGGAGAGGCAATAGGGCGTCTTTCCCGTGACTCCAAACTCTCGCGTTCGATTGGATTTACGCGGCCGTCGTGGCCTACCGGTCCGAAAACGGACACGGGCAAGCATATGGCTCTCACTTGCCTTGAGTCAGGTGTTTGTCACTTCCTGGAACTTGCTGAAAGCGATTGTTTTTGCCCGGCGCTCCCAATTCCGAGTCAGTTTTGTGTCTCTTAGTTCTCTTTTCAGTATTTCGTTTTGTTCTTTCTGTCCAACGATTGCACTTCAGTCCAAGGCTGATTGTGCGTCCTGGGTTGATGGGTGTATCCATCTGAAGCCCTTTAAAGCAAAAGAACTACATTCTTATTTTGCAACTCTGTCTAAAAGAAAGTGATTAGTGTGATCATACTTTCTGTTTGTGATCTTAAAATGCCATCAGATATTTCTTTATTTCTCTCACCTTCTACAAGGCGGGTTTTATTTGGGGCACAATATGATGAATTATTTATTCCGCCTCATTCAGACCATCAGATTGAGACATTAGAAAGATGTACAGACTATTCGGACTTAAAACTGGACTTTTATAGTTTGGGTCAGATGCTCCATTTCACTGATGTGAGCTTTGAGGCCCCAGAGTCACTTAGTTGAGTTATAGCCACATGCACAACACGGTTTTTACACTTCACACATTTGCAATCAGGTAGGAAGGTTTTCATGCAGATGTTTACAAGGAAAGCCATGTGTAGTAGGCGACTTTATAAATGATGCCATGAGAGCAGTGGTGTGTCAGAGCAGCTCCCTCTGGCCCATCCTAGCGAGTTGGGGGCCACTTCCCAGCCCCACGTCAGGGACTGCGTGTTGGTGGCTTGCCGTCTCCGTGGTGGTTGCCTTCACATCACAGATGTCAGCACATGCTGCAGACTGGGGCTTTGCTTCTCAGACGGCTAGCGCTGCTAAACTTTACCAGCTTGTCTCTGGGTCCGAGCTTGGTGTGGAGAAACAGTAATAGCAGCTGATGTGATTGGTGGAGATCTCACTGAGGAGGCCAGTGGAGGTGAGACTCTCCAAGAGGTGGAGGAGGAGCAGGGGAGTGACGCAGATGCGAAGGGCTTTGGTTACTTAGCAGACATTTTATTAAACATGCATTCTTGTTTGCCAGGCATTATGGGAGTACAGCGACGAGAAGAACGAGGCTGGGGGCAGTCTGGGGAAGGAGGTTAGAGTGGAAAAAGTTGATCGCCAAACTTAGGAGTTTAAAGTTCACTCGGTAAACTGAGATTCCTTCGGAGGTTTATGGAAAAGAGAGTCACGTGCTGAAAAATTGGTTTTAGGAAGCTTAATCTGAGGAGGAAACGAAGGCGTGTCCACTTCAGAATCTAAATTAAAGTGGTCGAAGCAGGTCTGGACTCCACACTGTGGCCCCCACCGCGCTCGACCAGCCACACTGCTCCCCCGAGACGGTGCTGTCCGCTCGCTGTTCAGCCGTCTCTGGCTCCTCTCTCGGCTCCTCTCTCGGCGTCCAGCCAACCCGAGAGCGCTCCGGACTGCTCGCCTCCAGAGCCCATCCAAGACCTGCCGGCTTCTCCGCACTGCCTCTGCTCTCAGCCCCGCCCAGGACACTCCTCGCCTCCGCTGCAGCTGCTCCCTCTCTGCCTGGCTCTTGCCTGCCAGCAGCTTATGTTCCGACCAGCCAGCGTGATCTTGAGGCAGATCGTGTTACTTCCTGCTTCGCACCCTCCAGTGATGTCACGTCCCCAGAGTGCAGTCCATACTCTTCTCATGGCCTCCGGCACCTCGCGCTGGCCTCTGGCTGCACGGCCAGCGTCGCCTCCCCACTGTTCCTTTTCTGTTCTGCAGCCAGGCTGGACTCATCGCCGCACTTGGAACATACGCCCAGCTGAAGCGGTCCTGGGGGCTTTGCAGTTGCCACCCTCCACCTGGAGCCGCTTTCCCCGGGTGTCACGTGGCCTTTTCCTTTACGCCGCTCGGTTAACCACTCGGATCTTAGCTCTCTCAAGAGCTCCCTGGACCACTTTCCCTAAAAATCACACCCCGTGACCCTCCAGCCCCTCCCTCTGCTTGCTGTTTTGTGCTCCACAGCCTCACAGTGGCTCTCTCACCTGTTGGAGTGTAAGCCCCACGAGACCAGGTCCTTTGGGCGATCGCTGTGGTGTCTCCATCACCCAAAACTGTGCCCGGCACATAGTAAGGGCTCGGCAGTTGTCGAATCAGGCGAAGGGACACGGGGGCACGGGGGCCAACGGAGACGTTGTCGGATACCGCAAGGACAGGTTCTTCTGCCCACTGAGCACCTGCAGTGAGTTCGTTTCACTGAGATGGCAAGAGAAGCCACAAAGAAAGAACTTGTGTGACTCGACAGAGTACTGTGGTAAAGGAGAGGACATTGACTTGGGCTTTTAGCCGGGGCAGTGACGAGGGGTCCCGGCCTGAGACGGGAGCGCCTAGGAGCGCCTCGTTCGGGATCAGCCGTGGGCAGCAGGGGATGAGTTGGTAGGCGCCGATTTGGCAATTACAGGGCACTTTAGGGTTTTCGCGCTCAGTAGGAACGAGAAAGGCTAGAGTAAGAAACAGAGCATCAGAGCAAAGGCTCTCGATCAGGAGCGGCTGCAGGCCAGCTTCCTGAGGGTTCGAGGCGCAGTGCTTCCTGCTCTCTAGGCCAGTGCTGTCCAGTGCAGCTGCCATAGCCACAGACGCCGTCGAGCACTTCGATGTATAAACTCAAGATACACACTAGGGTTCAGCCACTGTGTGTACATATGTGTGTGTGTATATACATGTATCTACATTTACACACATTATATATGTATGTTCATATGATGTAATATAAACGCGTGTTGAGATGTGTTTATATATGTTGGGTTAAATATGTGACTGAAATGATTTTATCTTTTTGCTTTTTTGAAATTTAGTTTCTTAGAAAGTCAAGAGTACACATGTGGCTCACATTTGTGACTCTCAGTTACATTTCAGCTAGGAAGTACTAGTCCAGACTGTCAAGATAACAAGACTGTTGAGTAAACTTGGCATGAGAGCTCAGTGCTCACTTTGCTGCTCCTTCTCATACCTTTAAGTTTCTTTCTTTTTTTTAAGTTGGAGTCTCATTCCGTTACCTAAGCTAGGGTACGGTGGCTCACTCACAGCCACCCCTGCGTCAACCTCCTGGGCTCCCGCGATCCTTCTGCCTCAGCCTTCCAAGTGGCTGGAACTACCAGCGCACACCACCACACCCAGCTAATTTTTTTTTAATTATTGTAGAGGCAGGGTCTCGCCAAGTTGCCTGGGCTGATCTTGAACCCGTGGGCTCAGGCAATCCCCTCACCTCAGCCTCCCAAAGTGCTGGGATGACAGACTGTGCCACCGTGCCCGGCCAATTAAGTTTTCTTTTATGTTAGCAAGGACAGTATTCTCTCTCTTTAGAAATGTGTATTTCTGCCTATAGGAAAAACATATTTATGCCAGTTTTTATGCACCTTTTCTTAAGCCTTCACCTTCTTAAACAAGTGACAGTGGCACCTTTTAATGGAAG